GTCCAGCGATGCTTATGTGGCCTGTGGAGAAGCTGCCTTCGCCTTACACGCTATGGCGTTACTGCAGGTTCTTCAGGCTAAAGCACTGAGGGACCTGCACGAGGGTGGTCATGATCCGGAAGTTCTAAACGAGCTCCAAACCGCAACTGATCTCACGCTCCAAGCGACGAAGGTCACCGCAAGTTCTCTGGGTCATGCGATGTCCCCCTGCGTCCACCCCCGCTCCCGTGCCGCATCCGCAGCAGCCTCCCAGCCTGCTCGTCGCCGAGGGCGGCCCCCTGCTTCCACCCCCGCTCCCATTCCGCATCCGCAGCAGCCTCAAGCAAGCGGCGCCGTAGAGCTGGGCGTAGGCAGGCCGACGGTGAGCGGAAGAGCAAGAGGCCTCAGGACGGGCGACCCAGAGAGAGAGAGATGCACCTCTCCCTTCCCCGGAGGAGGGCCGGGTGGAGAATCTGGTTTCCAAAAATCTCAACAGGAGAGCGGTTTTCTCTGTCTCTGGGTCCCAAGAGGGCATGGAGAGCCACGGACGGACCAACACCGGACCACGCTTATCCTCCTCTCTCGCCAGCAGGCAGCAGCAGGCAGTTCGAGAGCGTCGTCAAATGCTCTACTCATGCATCCTCTGCCAAACCGTGGAACCAGGTAAGTGCACTGCACACTCAGACCCCTCTTCAGGTCCCTGCATTCCACCTCGCTGGCACACTCAGACCCCTCTTCAGATCCCTGTGTTCCACCTCGCTGCTCCACCGTGGGTACATCGGTGGTCCTGCTGGTCCAGCTTGTGTGGTGTCTGGGTACCTGGCTACCCATACCGCCTCGCTGGTTCCTGCGGACCATCAGACTCGGCTATGCGATTCAGTTCGCCCGGCGTGACCTACCCCAAGAGGTAGTTGACACCTTCACTTCGGCGAGAGCTCCGTCTACGAGACACACTTACGCCTTGAAGTGGAACCTGTTTGTCGAATGGTGTTCTTCTCACCGAGAAGACCCCCAGAAATGTCCGATCAGAGTCGTGCTGTCCTTTCTGCAGCAGGGGTTGTAGCGAAGGCTGTCTCCCTCCACCCTTAAAGTCTACGTGGCTGCGATTGCTGCCAACTATGACCCCGTGGAAGGGAAGTCGGTGGGTAAGGTTCCTTAGGGGGGCGAGAAGTCTAAATCCTCCACGGCCCCCCTCTATACCCTCTTGGGACCTGTCTCTAGTGC